TCTTGTGTTGTGGGAGGGTGGTGGGGGGGGGGGGGGGGGGGGGGGGGGAAGCTGCCTGTAAACCAGGACAGGTTTGTCCTCCACAACTGCTTGCGGACCAACTCTTCCTGGAAGAGGATAACAGAGATCGCTAATGATGAATCTCGGGTGTTCAAGCCAGGGGCTTTGGATGATAAACAAAGGGGCCAGAGAAACTCTGTTGTCCTTGTCTTGGGATTGGTATTGTAGCAGGTCTGAGTCTGACTTCATTGATTCAAATGGCTGTAGTTTGGGAATTGTATTGTAATTGTAAGAATCCCTGCTCCAGATCCTGAAAGGTGTTCATCCCCATCAGGGATCGGAGCAGATACTGTTGCAATGTAGAACTCATCTGTAGATGGTGGATCTAGCCATGTACTTAGTTTATTTACTCCAAGTACAGAGCATCTTTATCTTGGATAAATTAAGTATTCTTTATCCATGATAGGCCTAAGGAAACTCCAGCTGAGCCATCATGGTCCCTCCACATGCCCAACAGCTCCAACTGCCACGGAATCTTCCCCTTCAAACTGCTCCAAGCAGAAGCCCCAAAAGTGGCAGAGTCAACTTACTGCCCAGTCGGTATCTTGCAATAGATGCATTTACATTTTCCCTATTTGGAGTCATGAAAGAAACATCCATTCATCTTACCAGAGTCCCTCAGATGCCAAATAAAATTGAGAGGTGGGGTGAGGGGAAGCCGATATAGGGGACGGAAGTTTAAGACCCCATATACTACTAGGCACATGGTATTTACTTAAGGGTCCAAATAGTATGGGGGGGGGGAAGAAAGAGATGGTTACAACAGTATCCAGGACATGAAAGACCAGAAACTATGTATAAAGCTTTCTGTTATGCCACTAGAAGCAGCCCTAGACACAAGGGAGGCAGGTTTTATGGATTTAGCTTCCTTTCTATATAATCCATATGGTGCATGTTCCAAGACAGGCTGCCATGCATAAAGATCTGAATGAAGATTACATTTGTGTACTAACAATAATATACAGATAGGAGAGACAAGTCACTGTCCATTGAATAACTGGAGTTGAACTTCAGGCATACCAGTTAATATTTACATGAGCAGTGCTCCCCAGGTTCACAATAGCGATGCTCTTCAAGCAGAAGGCAAAATGCTTCATAGAGAAAAGCAGGCCAGTGGTAGAGCTGGGGTGGGGACAGGGGAGGGGAGAGACAGAGAGAAAGCTCGTGGTCACACAAGTCTCACATTCAAGTGTAAGACTAGTCTTCCTACACAAAATGGAGTGTGTCTTAAGTTTCCTTTTGCCAAAGGCAAAGGAAAATTAATAGCGGTGCACAAATTGTTTTACGGCTGCAGGTAAAGGCAGATTTTTTCCCTTAAATTGTAGGAAGGCATCTTTACTTTT